AAGTGGCCACGTGAGTTAGCCAGGGCATCGGGGTGGAGGAAAGGGGCATGCGTTGGCATCCTGAGCCATCACACAGGTTCCAAGGGTCGGTGGACAGGGGTGAGGAACAACACACCTGAATGATGGGGATGTGGACTGAGTAGAATATTCTGCGACAGCAGCTGGAAGGGAAGGTGACGAGTGCCATGGTGTTTCTCTGGTGTCTGTGTCTAGTTAACAATCAGATGAGCTGCTCTGGGGACTGACTGTGGAAGATCCTGTTAAGCCACCACCTGTGATACTGGCACCGCACATGGGCACCAGTTCACGCCCGGGCTTCTCCACTTCCAATCCAGCTCCCTGCTAGTGACCTGGCAAGCAGTATTGGATGTTTGGGCCCCTACAACCATATAGGAGACCCATATGAAGCGCCTGGCTCCTGGCTTCAGCCTATCTTCAGATGTTGTGGCCATTTGGGGAGGGAAACAGCAGATGGAAGGCCTCTCTCTCTCTCTCTCTAACTCGTTCAAATAAAACACAATTTTAAAGAAGAAGAGCCGGTCTGGAGTTGGCATGAACCTCCAGAAGGTGGCATAGCTAACCTGTGAGAGTATTGGCTCTCTCAGTCAACATTCTAGGGGGATGGAGAAGCAGCCGCCAGAGGGGACAGCAGTCAGTGGTGGAGAAGGGATTGAGAGTGACTCTGGGTGATCCAGGATTACCCACAGCACAAGACTTAGACAACAGTGAGGCAGGAAGCAGCAACACCAGAGCCTCTCCACACTACTTTAGAAAACAGCACTTTTTCGGCATCAAGCAAGACAACTTGGACACCTGGGGGCAGGAGGCCTCCAAAGGGAGTGAATGAGGGGCCACGGGCTAGAACTATAAACCAGCTCTGCGGGAGGACGAGGCAGACGGCAGGTGCAGGTGGCAAGTGCCTGGGGCCAGGAGGTTGAGGGGCTGGCGGCCACCCACAGGAAGCTGTGCTTCTTCCAGAAGTCAAGGTGAGGGTGATGGAGAGAGTAGGATGGCATGGGTGGAGTTGTGCTTGAGAAAAAAAAATCCCTAAGCAGCAAAGCAGAAGATGAAAGGACAGAACGGCTATGAGACCCGCACTGGGACCCAAGCAGCCAGGACGCTCGTACTGGGCCTCATGGTTCTATATCCCCAGCGTGTGGCTCACAGCAGCCCATAGGATGAGCAAGGAGTGGCTTGGTCCTTCCAGCTACCCAGGGGAATCTGCAAGAGGGGTGAGGCTCTCAGGTGTCCTGGGGCAGGTGTATCAGCCGGCTGAGGTCAGCACTGCCCACCCCCTCTCCAGCCCCCATCAGTTCATGTTGGGGATGTTGAAGACTCTTCCACTCTGGCCACACTGATATTTCCTGCATCCACCTGGCAGACACCCATCTCCTGCTGCTTCCCCCCTCAGCCTCCCAGTCAGTCACTGGCTGACAGTAAGGCAACAAAAGTATCAAAACAAATCAATCACGGGTTCCTGGCAAGTGTGTGCTCGTGGATGAGCTGCAGCGCCACCCACAGAGCCACGAGTGTATCAAATAATAGCTCTTGGCCAACTTGATGGCTCATTACTAATCCCGCCCTTATAAGCACCGGGATACCATTCGGCACCAGTTTGTGTCAATCCAGTTCCCCTGCTTGTGGCCTGGGAAAGAAGCAGAGGATGGCCCAAATCCTTGGGACCCTGCCCCCGTGCGAGAGACCCAGAAGTTGTTTCTGGCTCCTGGCTCAGCTCCAGCCATTGTGGTCATTTGGGAAATAAACCAGCAAATGGAAGATCTTTCTCTAACTCCCCTTCTCTCTGTTTAAAAACAAAAAAGTCTGCCTTTCCAATAAAAAATAAATAAATCTCTATGTATTGCTCCCAGGTGTTTTTCTAAGTGACTCACTAAGTCCTGTGCGAGTCAACAGGTAGCTACTGACTTCAACTACCACCAAGATGTATTGATCAAAGACATCAATAGCTACCAAACTGAGACTGAGGTCAACGCCAGCCTCCCGGGGCAGTACATCTCGAGGGTCACCCAAACCTGGAGACGGCAGGCCTGCTATTTCTGTCTCTGGATCGGCTGCTTAGCCCAAGGCCCAGGTGACGCCAGCTCTTTCCACGACTGTGTGATCGCTACAGGTGCAAAGTGGTGCACACACACATGGACTCCTTCCTGGCGACTCTGTGATAAAAAGTTTAAACTCTCAAATGATCAAAAATGATCAAAGGCTCTTTCGGTGGTTAAACAGCTGCTATGGGGACGGCTTCCATAAAATGTTGAAAAATGCTTTTGAAACACACATGACCACCCTGTAATTCGAAGGGAAGATTAAGAATTTCCTGAGTCTCCAGCCAAAGAAGCAGGCCAGCCCAAACAAACACTGACAAAGAGTCAACAACACAAGCATGCGAGCAGTTATTTTGAAAACACAGTGGAATCTAATCTTTCCATAAGTAACAACAATAAAAAAAAAATGCTTAAGACAGCAATCTGGACCTAAGCGAGGGTACAACCAGATTTTGTTTATGTTTAATGCATAAAGGAGAGACAGGGGCCACCAGACCGTGAACCAGGGAAAGCTCTCGATGCTATACCATAGAGATGGGAAGCACTCAGGCAATGCCCTTAAAACTGAGGATCAAGGAGGCTGGAACTGTTGCACAGCAAGGAAAGCTACCGCCTGTGGTGCTGGTTGGTATCCCACAGGGGCGCCATTTGGGGGTCCCAGCTGCTCTACTTCCTACCTGGCTCTGTGCTAATGTACCTAAGAAAGGCAGTGGATGATGGATCCGTGCTTGGATGCCTGCACCCACATGGGAGACCCAGAGAGGGTGCCTGGCTTCTGACTCGACACTGGCTCAGCTCCAGCCTTTGTGGCCATTTGGCTGGGGAACCAGCAGGTGGACGATCTCTCTCTGCCATTTAGTCAGTGAAGCAGTGGGTAGATGATCTCTCTCTCTCTCTCTCTCTCAACTTTTTCAAATAAATAAATGCATCCTGAAAAAGTAAGAAACACTTGAGAGGAATCCTGTGACAAGTCAGACCATGCAGGCCTGCTGGGGTCTTGGCCACACCTTCAGGTGGGCGGCACCAGATTGCCCATTCATTTCCCAACTGGTTAAGAGACCACCAATGGGGAACATCTTACCTGTAGGTTCCCGCCCAACAAGGAGGGGTCAGGGAATGCTTAAAATCCCAAGACCCTTCCTCAAACCTTTGGTGGCTCTCCCCAGAGGCACCCCACCTCCTGGCTTTCTCTCCAGAGGTGCTTCCCCTTCCCTCTCCCTGCCCTGCTCACCTGATCCCTTCCCAAATAAACTTTTCTGTCTGCAACAGATTCCTGGCTTTTTATTTCTATACTAAGCTGAGGAGAGAACAACAAGGAAGTAAGATGACATGCAGAAGCACTTTGCTGACAAACACCCATGGGACTTCAGTACACGACCCTTGCAGGCCACACACATTTTATCACAGTCATGACAGTTCTGCTCTCTCTCTCTCTCTCTCTTTCTCACACACACGGCTGAAAATTACCAGCAACAAACTAAATAACAGTATGATTGAAAATGAACAAAAACTTAAGTGTCCAGGCATTCAGATCCATATATGAAGAAAATAATAAACAAACCAGGAAACAGGAACTGTTCTCATCCACTGAAGAATCCAAACAACAAATGTAGCAAGTTTATGGGGGAAAAAAAAAGAGGAAATGAACATTAGTAAACAACTCTAAGCAAAAATCCACTAATAAATGCGAACTTATTGGGCAAAACCTCAAGGGAAAGTAGAGTGTGTTCTCAGGGCTTTAGCACACTTCCCCAAGAGTACCTGTTGCCATGCAGGTAACTCGCCTCACTCTGAGTGTGCACTGGGACACAGAGGACTGGCTTGTAACTGGTAGAGAAAGCAAAAGGGAGGAAGCCCAAGCTTACGGTGAAGCGACTGGACAATGGGGCCTTCACGGTGCAAGTGTGACGAACGCCAGTGTCATGAAGACACAATGACATCATGTGTCCCCAATATGATGTCTGACAAGGGGACTGCACCCCTTTATTCTGAGACAGAGGGATTCTCCATCTGCTAATTCACTCCCTAAATGCCTCTAACGGCTGGGGCTGGCCCGAGGCTGGAGCCTGTAGCAGGGATGTCAGCCAGGTCTCTACAGAGGGGACAGAGATGCGAGCACTTCAGCCAGCACCTGCTGCCTCCCAGGTGCGCAGAAGCAGGAAGCCAGATCCGAAGCAGAGCAGCTAGGACTCAATGCCAGTAGTCCCAACGTGCGGGCATCCCACACAGCCTCCTAACTTGCCGTGCCTCAGCATCCCATTTCTGATCATCAGCCAGGCCTAGAGGAACCCACACTGGGGGAGCATTCAAACCAACAAGCAGTCGCTACTCTTCCAAGACAGAAGACCTGTCGCAGCTTGGAGGAAAGGAAAGAGGGTGACAACTCATGCAAGGTGACATCCCGCAGTGGATTCTGGAACAGACAGGGAACATGTGGGAAACTGCCAGGATGCCACTGTAGTCTGGGGTGTGGGTCACAGCAAGGCACAGAAATTGCTTCCTTAGTTCCAATAAACACACCACAGTTATGTAACGTGTCAAGGCAGATGACACAGAAGGTACAGAGGAACTCTGCACGACAACTCTTGTGAACCTAGAAATATTTTCTGAAAGGTTCTTCGGGGACATTTACAAAGTAAAGTTGCACAGACAGGTCTGTATTTCATTTCCTACATAGCTGAGTATGCCCAGGTTCCTTCTCTTTGGACAAAAGTATTCATAACGGAAGAAAAAAATAAGATTCCATTACAGCTTTGCAAAAGTCGCTCTGGGAACTAGCCTGGAGAGAAGCAGATTTCACGTCTGACCCAGGGAGAGAGACCACACAGGCCTTGCCCTTCAGGTGGCCCAAAGATTCCCCAGGGCTTCTGGAACATCTGGGGTCACTCCAGGGTCCTGTTGGGCCCTTGGGGTGTGCAAAGCCTCATGGAGTGGGGTACTCACCAGCGCGACTTTCCTCTGTGGCTTCAGCAGCTTCGGCTTGTGGAAGGTGGTGGCGATTGGAGCTGAGGAAGAAGGGCAAGGGTTTACACCGGCTTCGCGCAGACTCGAAGCTCCATTCCCAGCCCCAGGGAAGAACTCTGCTTTCTGAGCTGGGAACTGTCAGGGGACCCTCAGTGTGTGTGTGTGTGCGCAGGGGTGAGGGGCTCCTGGCTCTTTTGCCCTCATCTCCCCCTCAACAAGGTGAACAGAACAGCTCTGCCAAGAGGTCAGGTGTGCTCGGAGAAGCGTGAGGCTGGGGTCGTCCCTGGGAAACAGGTTTTGGGGAAGTGTCTCCCTATCCCCCTTCAACAGAGCAGGAAATCTCCCGACGTCTTTCAACTTTTTGAGATTTGGATCAGGCATTGAAGTCCAGTGCTACGACCCAGCTCTCAGAGACCGACTTTCCTCTCCTGCAGGATAGAGTACACTGGACTCTGGGACCAACAAGATAGTGAAGCAGTAGGGTGCCTGGCCCAGAGCAGGTGCTGCTCGTCTCCCTGGCCTCCCCCAGATGGCTGTGCTATCCAGCTCCTCTCTGTGTGGTCAGCTTTCATGCCAGGGTTCAGCAGGTGCCTAGGAGACACCCTGGGAAATCCCATGGAGGGATAAAACATACCCTATGACTCAATGGCTCACTTTGCATAACCATATCGAGCTCAAATTTGTTATGGTATATATCAGTGAACCAGGGATTTAGGGATCTATGTACCTATAGGCACTGGTGGTCCCCCTGAGACTTGTAAGCCTCTCTCTGCACCCCCAAAGTACTTTGCATCCCAGCCTGCATCACTCTAAATCATAACCAAATGACAGACTAATTCACCTTACTCCCTTGAACCAACATGCATTGCACCGCCATTCCGGCTGACATCGTTAAAGAAATCAGAGTGTCCCTCGCCCCGAGCTAGACCTCCTAGGTGCTGACACGCCCTTGCCCCACCTCACCAGGCGTGCAGCAACAGGCTCAAGGGGAAAATAGAACGGGAAATGCTCCAGGCATTCTCATGCTTCCTGCTGAAGCTGTGCTGGGCCCAAGGCGCCAAACACACCCCATCCCATCTAAGAACAGGCGGTCCAGCAGCAGCGGTGTCCTCAGATGCATCGTTGTGTTCCCTACAGCCTCATCGCATCCCCAGCCCACCCCCGCCTTGGTCCCGATGGTTTCCAGGTGGGCACCGGCTCATCCGCCTCCTACCTTTGGCAGGGACTGCAGGTGGAACGTCAGCCTTCTCCTTGCGCCTCTTGCCCTTCTTGGGCTGCAGTGGGGCCAAGCTGGTTACACTGGTGACCGTCTCCCCTGAGCTGGGAAAGAAAAAGTTCCCAGTGAAGCCAAAAGCAGGTTTGCTGCAAGAAGCCCAGAGAATCAGATCCATAGACTTCCAGTGTTCCTGAGTGTCCATGGACAGAAGGGCTGTCTCATAGGTCTCCGTGCGTCCTTAAGTCTGGTACCGCCCTTCAGCCAAACACAGTGAGGTGGGCTAGATGTACAGTGGGATGCTTTCAAGTTCAATAGTAGCGCCTGGGAAGACCCAGTCCTGGCTTGTTAAGTTGCTTAGGGATGAATGAGCGGACGGCAGACACCTGACTTGTCTGTGTCTCAGTAGAGCACCAAAAATACCACGGAGATTCCTTGCCTGGGATGTTTATACTCCATAAACCCTCCCCGCAACACACACATAAATAAAACACCTGCTGAACCCCCTTGGAAAGTGCCAGGATCCCCGACTGCTGGGGCAGAATGTCTGTTTCCTGGCACCTGTTCCAGCTGAGCAGGTGTGGTTGCCAAGAGGAGTCTTCTGGCAGCCTACGAGACTTCGGAGCCAGTTGCAGAATCACCCAAGGGGCAAACAGGCAACTTCACCCATTAAGGAAAGTCATGGCCAGGCAAGCATACACCAGTTCCTCATAGCCTAACTGCACTTCCAAGCACTCTTCACCCAGAAGTGTTGCCAGCTCGTGGGCAAAACTCTCCTCATGGAAAATGACCCAGCAGCAGCTATCAACAATTACAGAGCTTAGTGGTTAAGATGTCCACATTCCAGGTCTGGTGTGGTAGCCTAGTGGCTAAAAGTCCTCAGTTTGAACGCGCTGGGATCCTATATGGGCGCTGGTTCTAATCCCAGCAGCTCCACTTCCCATCCAGCTCCCTGCTTGTGATCTGGGAAAGCAGTCGAGGATGGCCCAAAGCCTTGGGACCCTGCGCCCCTGTGGGAGACCCAGAAGAAGTTCCTGGCTCCTGGCTTCAGATCGGCATAGCATCAGCCATTGCGCTCACTTGGGGAGTGAATCATCGGACAGAAGATCTTCCTCTCTGTCTCTCCTCCTCTCTGTATATCTGACTTTCCAATAAATAAATAAATAAATCTTTTTTTAAAAATGGAAAATAAATTGTTATTTTTAATTCTACTTTCCACAATTTTCTGAAGTGTCCTGCTACGTCCTGAAAGAACGATTACAATTATCTTAGAATTAGTATTGGTGTATACTAAGGCTCGTTGCCAGATGCTGAAATAAGCCCTGGAAATATCGATAAGAATTTTTAAATATTAGGGCTGGTGTTGTGGCACAGTGAGCTAAGTTTCCACCTGCAATGCCAACATCTTATATAAGAGGGCTGCTTCAAGTACCTGTTGCTCTGCTTCCAACTCGGCTCCCTGCTAACATGCCTGGGAAGGCAGCAGTAGGTGGCCCAGGCACGGGAGTCCCTGCCAGCCATGGGAAAGAAGCTGAATGGAATTCCTGGCTCCTGGCTTCAACCAGCCGAGCCCTGGCCATTGTGTTCATTTGAGGAGCCAAGCAGTAAGTGGGTGATCTCTCTCTCTCTGCCTTTCAAATGAGTAAATAAGTCTTTTTAAAATTTATTTTTATTTGAAAAGCAGATTTACAGAGAGACACTGAGAGTTCTTCCACCTGTTGGTTCACTCCCTAAGTGGTTGCAATAGCCAGAGCTGGGCCGATCTGAAACCAGGAGTCAGGAGCTTCTCCCTGGGTCTCCCATACAGGTGCAGGGGCCCAAGCACTTGGGTCATTGTCTACTGCTTTTCCAGGCACATCGGCAAGAAGACAGATTGCAAGTGGAGCAACCAGGACTTGACCTGGCACCCATATGGTTGAGACTTAACCTACTGCACCTCAGCGCCGGCCTACAGTCTTTCTTCCATTTCTTTTTTAAGTGATTTAAAAAAATAAGATTTGGCATTGTGGCACAGCAAGTTAAGCTGCTGCTTGCAATGCTGGCATCCCACATCAGAGGGACAGTTCCAAGTCCCGGCTCAACCACTTCTGCTCCAGCTCCCTCAGAACACGCCTGGGAAGACACGAGAAAGTGACTTAAGTGCTTGGGTCCCTTGCCATCCAGGCGGCAAAACTGGTGTTCTTCCCAGAGCACCTGAAACATGCAGTTCCAGGTTCATGGCTGTGGTCTAGAAAAGCTCAGGCCACTGAGCTGACCTGGGGAATTAACCCAGGAATGGAAGCTTGACAGAGACAGAGGGGGAGAGAGAGAGAGAGAGAGAGACAGAGCTCACTGTGCCTTTCAGATAAATAAACCTTCTAAAAACATCAAGTCCTATAAGATGGGGAGTGCTGGGAAACAAAGCAGATGGAACCAAGACAGGAAAAAAATGACTGCTGGATATGCTTGCAACGAAATGCAAATAAATGTATACATAACTTGAATCAGAGGCAAGCTCTACTAACAAGAGTGCTAGAGATTTAAAAAGACATATATAAACACTGACTCCCACAGTGCGGGAAAATGTCCCAGAATCCAGCCTCCACTGAGCTCCCCCAAAGAGCTGTGTGTTTGATTGGGAACACAACTTGCAGGCGATCACAGCTTTAGAGTGGGAGCGCTTGGCCAGTGGTGCCAGTTCACACGGAGCCAGGAGGAATGCGAGTTTGCAAAACACTGACAACGAAGAGCAAACCAGATCAGAGGCTCCAGGCCACCTCCACAACCCGACCACATGGTACAGCCTTGCTCTGTAGTTTTTTCTGACTCTTGTACTGTTTATTTTTCTGGCTTTTTTTTTTTCCTCCCCCTGTTATAAAATAATTCAGCTTCTTCGCATTTTAAAACACTACTTACTTACAGGCATGGAGAGGAAAGGAAGTAAGTTTATTACAACCAAAACACAAATGTGGGAAATGTTTTCCACATTCTTCTCTGCCTCTCCCTGTCTCTCTGGAACTCTGCTTTTCAAATAAATCAATAAATCTGTTCAAAGGAAAGAGAGAGAGAGAGAGATCTTTCATCTGCTGGTTCACTCACCAGGTTGGCCAAGGTTGGGGAGTCAGGCTAAAGTTAGAAGCCTGGAAATCCATCCAGGTCTCCCCCGTGGGTGCAGGGTTGGGTCATCCTCCACTGCTCTCCCAGGCACAGCAGCAGGGAGCTGGACTGGAAGTGGAGCAGCCAGGACACAAATCGGTATCTTTATAAGAAGCCAGCACTGTTGGAGACAGCTTTCCCAGCTACGGCACCAGCTCCTGGGATTCATCCTAAGAGATACGGGCACTCTATGGGTCAGAACCATGTAAAGGACCCATGCTCACCAGCAGAGCATCACTCAGCAGTGTCGCTGCCCACAAAAGCACCTGTGCCCTGCATTCCAGGGCTCCGTCTCCTAAGTCTTGGTAACCACTCATCTTGCCGCTATCTCCACAGTGTCGTGGCATGGGAATCAGATGGCAGATGGCTTTGTCTGCTTGGGACCCCCAGTTCAAGGTTTCTCCCCATCTTTTCATGACTTGGTTGCTGTTCGCCTTCCAGTGCCTCCTGATTCGACTCCATTTTCTGGCTGGGCTCCCATCTGTCCTTCCATCTCCTCCAAGACACCTGGGTAGCTTCCCAGTTCAGGCAACTACGGGTACACATCTGCATGCCAGTTTGAGGGCAGATGGAAGTTTTTGACTCTTCCTTGCTTTGTAGGCACTGTCATACTGGAGTCCAACTTCACATCCTTCTTTTGGCTTCATCCGCATGTCATACCATTCCATTCTTACACTATTCCACTGAGAAGATAAATCTTCCTTTACCTAGGCATTTCCCAACATCTAAACATCTCATTTCATTCCTAGTTTGATATATACATAAAATTGCTAAAAAAATAGCTTTGTGCATTATGGGTTTTTCTTTGTTTTTGTTTTTTGTTTTTTAAAGATCTGGTTATTTTACTTGAAAATCAATTACAGAGAGAGAAAGAGGGAGAGACAGAGAGATCTTCCATCTGCTGGTTCACTCCCCAAATGGCTTCAAAGGCCACAGCTGAGCTGATCCAAAACCAGGAGCCAAGATCTTCTGCTGGGTCTCTCCCACTTGGATAAAGGTGCCCAAGCACTTGAGGCATTCTTCACTTCCTTCCCGCTGTGCGCCAGCGGAGAGCTTTAAATAGGAAGTGGAGCAGCCACGACTTAAACTTGAACATCCATATGGGATGCTGGTACTGCAGTTGGAGAATTGTGTGTTAAGCCACCATGAAGGGGCTCCCCCTTTTCTTTACTCAAATCCGTTTTTTTTTAATCGTGTGTTAATTCCTCTAGAAGATAACTTATTTTCCTTTTCATTTAATTTATCTGAGAGGCGCAGAGAGAGAGAGAGAGAGAGAGAGAGAGAGAGAGTAGGGCTGTTCATCCACTAGTTCACTCCGAGCCAATGCTTGCAATGGCCACCAGCCAGGAGCTGTAGCCAAACCTCCCCTGCAGGTGGCAGAAAATCAAGGACTTGAACCAGCACCATGGTCTCCTGGGGTCCACGTTAACAGGAAGCTGGAGCCAAGAGTGGAGCTGGCAATCAGGGACTCTGACGCAGGATGTGGGTGTTCCAAGGTAGGGCAGGCCAGACACTAGCGCCTGCTGAAATACATTCACATTTTCCTGCCTAAGGCTGCCCCTGACCTTGGTCTCCCTCCCAGACTGCACCCCCTCTCCTGCAGAATCAAATGCCATTTCCACTTCCTCTGCCCGTTTCCCCGCCCCAGGATTCCATTCTTAGGCTCTTGGATATAAACACAACGTTTTGGAAGATCATGTCTGTGAATTCCTGCCATCAGGCCCAGGGCTGTCACTAAACCAGAGAAAAGATCCACTTTGTCATCACCCATTCTCCTTCCAAACCAGCAAGCTGCACTCAACTGCATTTAGTCCTAATTTACGGGTCAAAATAATGAGGCCTCATGTAGACACTGAGTCATCATGATGGCTTACGACGGAACCATTGCTCACCTAGAGTTCCCATTTTCCCCCTGAGCCAGCAGGGTCCACCATATGATTAACTGAGAAGCAAAGTGACTCTCTGCTCCTGG